GTCGAGCGCGCGCATCGTGAACGAGTCGCGAACTGCGGTCGCGCCAAGCATGAAATGCGCACGGTCGTTACATCTCGGCGAACATCTCGGCTAGGAGCGGTTGTATTTTTTTGCGACTCGCCTTGACGTCGAGCTGGGCGCGCGCCGATCGAAGGGCGTTCGGGGGATCGCGTATGGCGAGCGACGACATCCGCGTGTGAGTGCCGAGTTCTGTCAAGAGCTCGTTCGCGTCCAACGCGCACGACGGAGATGTCGTTGCGGCGATTTGGCGCGCGAACGCCCCGTTGGCATCGACATCCTCGAACGAGGACATCATGAATAGAACGTCGATCCCTCGCTCGCAGATGAACGCGGCGCACTCGACGTCGATGGACGTTGTGTCCTGCCGGGCAACCAAATCCTGAAACCGCACGCCGAAAGAGGCGACGCCGACCTCGTGTCGACCGAACGTCCACTGTTTATAATCCTTCGCGAGGAGCTGCGCGCATGAGAACGAGCTCTGATCGTGACGCGCGAGCGAGAGTGTCTCGTACTCGTCTCCCATCTCGCGCTCGTCCCATCCCAACGCCTCCCTCAACGCCTTCGCCGCCTCGAAATCTACCGCCGACGCGCGCGTGGTCGAGGCGTCTAATAATCTCGTGTCTAACACGATAGCCCCGAGCAACAGTCGCGCGACTTGGCGAGCGATGTCGTCTCGTCTCGTCGGCGCGACGACGTCCCGGTACACTAAACTCGAGCACGAACCGACGAGCTCAATCGTCCGTACCGCCGCGTCACCGTGCGCACCCGCGTCGTCGTGATGATCAATGATCTCCACCACGCGCGTCTCCCACGATTTTGGAACGACGCGAACCGTTATCGCGTTGTGATCCACCAAAATAACTTCCCGCGGCGTCCGCGCCTCGCCCGCCGCCTCGACGTCCTCCGCGCACGTCAAGCTCTCCACCGACACGCCCACCGCGTCGAGCGCTCGCACGACGTCCGGCCGCAGCGCTAAATCTCTCCTCAAACACTGCGCGATGGGGGTCACGATCGCACTCGTCGTCATCGCGCGCGCGTATCCCACCGCGAGCGCCGAAGCCACCGAGTCTAAATCACACGCCTCGTTCCCGAGCGCGCACGTCACGCTCGATGGATCCCTCAAGAACGCCTCACGGGCGCGTCGGAGGTACGCGTCCAGCCCTTCGAGCGCGCCGTCGCTGGACGCGGGCGCCATGACGCTTTTTCGTCGTTTTTGTGAAATCAACCGCGCCACCCTCCCTCGCGACGCTCTCGCGCCCCGACGCCCCGCGTCGGGCGCCACGGACCTCGTCGTCGCTCGCGACGTCGTCCTCTCTCGCGCGAGCGACGCGCGTCGTCCTCTGACGCGCGGCTCGACGATTGTGCCAACGAACTCGAGTGGTGACGAGACGAAACCGACGATAGATCGCGTCGCTCGGGCGCGCGCGTCGATTCGAGAGGGCCATGGACGACGACGGGGCCGAGCGTGCGATGACGCACGCGCGGTCGTCGACGCGAGAGGCGTCCGTCGGGCTCGAGCGAGCGAGGGAGGCGATTTGGAAGATGTTGAACGATGGTGACAGCGACTCGGGCTCGGCGTTCGATGACTCGTTTTTAGACGACGATGACGACGGGAGTGTGGCCGTGACGGCGAGAGCGTCGGTGCCGCTGACCCCGGTGGGGGCGTCGATCGATGCGCGGGCGAAAGAGCTGGAGGCGCGTGGGTTAGCGCTGGCGAGGAGGTTGGAGTTGACGTCGCCGAGCGGGACGCCGGATCGAGCGCCGACGCGAGAGGGGGGACTGGGGACGGAGGCGTTGGAGCGGGCGATTGCGGAGCGAGATTTGGAGATTTATCGTCGGGATGAGGAGTTACGGGCGCTGCGAGAGAGTGTTGGGGCGCTCAGATCGGCGGATGAAGAGCGCGAGGCGGACGCGTCGCGAGCGCAAATGGAGGACGCGGAGAGACGCGCGCGGGAGGCACAGGCGGGTGCGCGGGCGATGCGAGAGGCTTTGAGAGACGTGGAGACAAAACACGCTCGAGAGCGGGCGAGACTCCTGGATGAGCTCCGCGATGTGCGCGCCGCGGCGTCGGCGTACGCGATGGAGCTGAAATCGCTCACATCCGAACGTGCTCGCACGAACGCGAATTCAAGTTTCGTCGACGCATCGACGCAACGGGAGCTCGAGGCGACGAGAAAAAGAGCGGACGTTGCCGAGGCGTTCGCCACAAATTTGGAGCGCATGCTTCAAGAAAAGTCGGAGGAGCTTTTTGAGACGACGCAAGAGCGTGACGATTTGCGCCGAAGGCTCAAGGCGACGAGCGACACAATCGATTCTCTCGAGCGTGAGTGGCTGGAGGTCAGCCGGCAAAACGCAAGCGCACAAAGTGCGCTGAAAGAAGAAAATGAAGAGCTTCACCGCGTGATCGATGATCTGAAATCGGCCGAAAAACGTGGGTTCGCCGAGGCTGAGGCTGAAAACGAGGCGCTTCGAGCGCGTTTGCACGCCCAAAACAGTGGCAGTCGTAGCATCGATCGGAACCTCGCTCGAGAGTCCATCGCTTCATTACGGTCGAACGTGCGCGAACTCAAGGAGGATATCGATCGAAAAGACGCGGAGCTCGGGGAGCTCCGCGGAGTCATTGAGCGTAAATCCATCGTCGAGGCCATCAATGCGGAGAAGGACGCTGTCATCACCGCTTTGCAGGCGCAAATTAACGCCCGCGCGGCCACGGAGAACACGCAAACGGTGGGTAAACGGATTATCAGCGACGCATCGAGCGACGCCGAGCTCGACGCTTTCAAAGAACTTCAGACAGTAGCCGAAGCACTTCGTCGAGAGAACGACGCGCTCCGAACCGAGATCGAAGATATCGACGCCGACGGTGTCTTCGCGGAGTGTCTCACGCTTAGTCGGCGCGTGCGCGCGCAAGATTCTCTCTTGACTTCGTATGAGGAACGACTCATTCGGTACACCGAGCAACTGGGCATCCCGTTCAGTCCGGAACGGCGTCCGTAGCGCTTGTAACGTCACAACGCGCCGCCGCGCTCGAGACGTCGACGCGGGCGATGGGGGCGCGGGCGACGAAACCGCGACGAGGTTCGCTCGAGGGGCGCGCGCGCGAGCGGGGCGAGGCGTCCACGGCGACGGCGGCGCGCGCGGCGGCGAGCGACGGTTCGGATTCAGACGAGGGGCCGCCGCCACCGCCGTGGGTGAAGCGGGACGACGCGACGGTGGAGACGGAGGTGAACGATCCCGAGGCGTGGATCAACGACGCGTTGGCGGGGTCGGCGATGGGAGAGGCGTTGATTCGGCGGTGCGGGGTGATTGCGAAAAAGTGGGCCGACGCGATGCCAAAGTCGACGTGGCTGAGGATCACGAAGAGTGGACGTTTGGTGAAAGAAATGCGAGAGAGCGCGCCGGTCATCGTGCGGACGATGGCGTACGTGGACGCGATGGCGGTTCCGGAGAATAGGGATGAGAAGTGCACCATCGTGGACCTGTGCAGCGGGTTCGGATACCTCGCGATGTTCCTGAGCGAGCTCCTTCCCAAGGAAAAGGTGGAGGAGATCGTGATGGTGGATAAGATGTGGGCCATGTTCGGCACCGAGCCCAAGTCGCATCACATTAATTGGGCGCACGTCTACGGCGAAGGCGAGTGGAGATACGAGTGGCCGATCGCGTTGAGCACGAGAAAAGTGGATTTGAAGGACCGCGCGCAGGTGAAGCAAATGGCCAATCACTTGTTCTCTCGATGGAACGGCCCGTTCATCGTGTTAGGAATCCATCTGTGCGGAATTTTGAGCATCAAGGCGGTGGAGATCTTCAACAGACACTCAAACGTGAAGCAGCTCATTTTGAAACCGTGTTGTCTGCCCGACTTTTCGTGGACGTACAAGGAAGAGTATTTTGAAGTCGGTTCGCACAAGCACCGAATTCCCACGAAGGAGGTGTGCAGTCGCGGAAAGTGGAAGAAAAATAAGTGGATTGGCCCGCCGAGGCACACGCTCAAAGTTAAGTTCGAGGCGTGGAACGACCACTTGTGCAGGTCCATCGACGAGGAGGAAGGGAATGTGCGTTCCGAAGTGCAAGAAATCAAGGTTCAAGAGAAACACTTCCAGAATCTCTTCATCTTTAGCGAACGGGAGGTGACGCGGAAATGCATCGCTGAAGAAGCGACCGGGACAAGGTTCCCAACCCCGAGTGGCACAGAGGCTGGGAGGTGGTGCCCCACGGGCACCGGGTACGGGACGCACGTGAAGAACTCTCGACAATAATGTTGCAATAGCACTATTTTTCGCCACCCTCTCCCGCGAAGATCTCCGGCTTCAAGATCCCAACGAACGGTAAATCTCGATACTTCCCTTGGTAATCTAACCCGTAGCCCACGACGAATTCGTCCGGACACAAAAACGCGCACGCGATCTTCATGTTCTTCTCCTCAAAGTACTTCGTCGCCTCTGGATCGCGTCGTTCGCGTTTATCCATCAACGCGATCAACGCCACCTCCTCCGCTCCCTGTTCGTACAGCACCTTCGCCAGCGCCATCGCCGTTCGTCCACTATCGATGATATCCTCCAAGATCACCACTTTCCGTCCTCGAACGACCTCCGCTCCCGGCGCGCGCACGTCAACCTTCGCGCCCTCGCTCGAGGTTCCGTCCCCGTACGACGCGCACGTCGCGCACGCGATCACCGGCCGCGCGTACGTCCGCACCACGTCGTCACGCACGACCCTTTGCGTGACGTAACACTGTCGCGTGAGATCGCTCGCGAACGTCATCGCGCCCGTCGCCACGGGCACGAAGACTGAAAAATCCTTGAGCTGACTCACGATCAACACCGCCAAGGTCTCGAGCGCGCCCTCGATCATCTCCGCGTCGCACACGACGCTCGCGACGTCGGGGTCCTCGACGGGGCGTCCGGCGACGCGCGGACCGGACGACATGGGCGCGAGCGCGTCGCGTCGTCGCGATTGTGAAGACGCGGCGCCGCGACGCCCGGTTGACGTCGTCAGAAAACGACGAACGACGCCTCGCGCGCGATGTCGGTCGCGTTGACGGACGCGGTGGCGTACGACGCGTTCACCGCCGCGCGCGATCGCGCGATCGTGCACTTCACCGCGAGCTGGTGCGAGCCGTGTGCGGCGATGGAGATTGTCCTGGAAAAGATTCGAGAGAAACACGCGGGCGTCGTCACGGCGACGTGCGACGCCGAGGCGGTCGAGGACGTCGCCGAGCGCGAGGGTGTGAGCGCGGTGCCGTATTTTGTGTTTTATCGCGACGGTAAGCGCGTGGACGCGGTGGAGGGGGCGGACGCGGCGACGGTGACGAACAAGACGCGCATGTACTTTCCGGCGACGGCGACGCAGACGACCGCGACGACGGCGAAAGGCGCGGACGCGGTGAAGTCGACGGAGGCGAGCGGGAAGCAGGCGCTTCAGGCGCGGTTGAAATCGCTGATCGAGAGCCAACCGGTGGTGCTGTTCATGAAGGGACACCCGGACGAACCGAAGTGCGGGTTCAGCCGAAAGGTGGTCGACGCGCTCAACGGCGCCGGAATCAAGTTTGGTTCGTTCAACATTCTCGCCGACGAGGACGTGCGTCAGGGTTTGAAGGAATATAGCAATTGGCCGACGTACCCGCAGTTGTACGTCGACGGTGAGCTCTTGGGCGGGTGCGACATCATACTCGAGATGGCTGAGTCCGGAGAGCTCGCCGAGGCGTGCTCGGAAGCGTCGGGCGACGGTAAGGTAAAGAAGGCGCTCAACGAGCGAATCAAGCGTATGCTTGATGCGCAAGACGTGATTTTGTTCATGAAGGGTGACCGAAACGTCCCGCGATGCGGTTTCTCTGGGAAAGTCGTCAAGGCTCTGGACGCCACAGGAGTCGAGTACGCGACGTTCGACATCCTCGGCGACGAGCCGATTCGCCAAGGACTGAAGGAGTACTCAAACTGGCCGACGTACCCGCAGCTGTACTACAAGGGCGAGCTCATCGGCGGATGCGACATCATCTTGGAGCTCGCCGAGGCGGGCGAGCTCGCGACGGAACTCGGCGCCGCGTGAACGCGAAGAGAAACCATCTTCGCCGCAAAAAAATCGTAATGTTACACGCGACAATCTAGTCTCATTCGTCCAACATCTCCCCCCGGTACCGCATGTACACCGACGCGTCGTCCTCGAAACCGGCGTCCGAGAAGAGCGTCTCTCCCAGCGCCCTCGGCGTCGCCGCGCACACGTCGTAAATCTCCCGCTCGAACAAAACCTTCCCCAACAGCACCACCAACGCCGTGCCGACCCCTCGTCTCCGTCGATCGCGTCGCACGCACACCCGATCGATCGTGGCCACCGTCGCGCCGTCGCTCGACGCGCACGCCCATCCCACCAGCGTCCCGTCTCGCCCGTCGTACGCCCCCACCACCGCCCGCGCCGCCACCCCCCCCCGCGCGTAGCGTTCGATCGAACGCGCGTCCCACGCCGCGCCATCGCGCGCGTCTTCGCACGCCGCCATCGCCGATGCGAGTCCACGCACCGCGTCCGCGTCCACCCGTCGCACGTCCACGTCGTCGCTCGCGCGCGCGCGCGCGCGCGGTGGCGTCGCGACGCGCGGTCGACGACGACGCGTCGACGCGACGTCGACGCGGACGCGCGCGCGACCGGCGCGCGCGACGACGGGCGCGCGCATGGCGTCGCGACGACGACGATGGACCATCGCGAGTCCCGCATCGACGAGTCGTGACTCGTAGATTGGACGCCAGCGACGCGTCGCATCGACCCGTTCGCGCGCGCGCGCGTCGACGCGACGACGCGACGACGCGACGCGCACGCGACCGCGCGCGCGCGATCGAGCGACCGCGTCGTCGTCGCGTCGACGTCGCGCGCGCGTGGACGCGGTCGTCTAGGCGGTGGAGACGGTGGAGACGGACGACGCGACGCGATCGGCCGCGTCGAGCACGACCGCGATCGTCGACGAGGATCGCCGACGGGCGCGCGAGCGAGGATGGTGGACGCGTCGCCGACGGGCGACGGGGGTGATCGTGAGCCCGGCGCGCGGGCGCGGACGAACGCGGAGACGTTCGAGCTCTGGGTGACGGAAAGGGACGGGAAGGCGTTGGACGCGGCGGGGGGGGTGGCGACGGTCGCCGCGAGCCTTGGATGCGATCTGAAGAAAGGGTTGACGAACGGCGCGTGGACGGCGGCGGAACGGATTTCGACGTACGGGAAGAATGAGTTCGAGTATCCGCCGCCGAAGTCGTTCTTGGAGCTGTGTCAGGATGCGCTCGGGGATCTCACGGTGAGAATTCTGATCATGGCGAGCGTGGTGTCGCTCGGCGTCGGAGCCGGGATGAAGTCGCATCGGGAGGAGTACGGCTACCTCGAGGGGATCGCGATCGTCCTCGTGGTTTTTGTCGTCGTCTTCTTGCAGGCTGGGATCGATTACGCCAAGGAGATGAAGTTTCGTCAGTTGAACTCCATCAAGGATAACTATCAGGTGAAGGTGATTCGCGACGGCGAGGTCGTCGCCGTCACCGCGGGTGAGGTCGTCGTCGGCGATTTGGTCGAGCTCGTGGCCGGGGACAAGGTTCCCGCCGACGCTTTGTTCGTCGAGGGATCAAAGTTCAAGGCGAACGAAGCCGCGATGACCGGTGAACCGATCGACATCGCTAAGACGCGCGAGAAGGACCCCTGGGTGCTCTCGGGTACGTCCATCTCCGAAGGGTCTGGCAAGGTTGTCATCATCGCGGTCGGTTCGCGCTCGCAGTGGGGGGTCATTTTAAAGACTCTCATCGTCGAGCCAAGCGATACGCCGCTGCAGGAGCGTCTCGAACGTCTCGTATTGCTCATCGGTAACTTTGGCATCGGCGCTGCGGTCCTGACGTTCCTCGCGAGCATGATCCGTTGGATCGTCGAGGGTGCGCAAGGTAAGGGATGGGACGGCACTGAAGTGCTCAACTTCCTCATCAACGCAGTTACGATCGTCGTCGTCGCCATTCCTGAGGGTTTGCCGCTCGCGATCACACTCGGCTTGGCGTTTGCGATGCGGAAAATGATGAGTGACCAAAATCTCGTGCGACGTCTTGAGGCGTGTGAGACGATGGGAAGCGCGACTCAACTCAACGCGGACAAAACTGGCACGTTGACGCAGAACAGGATGACGGTCACTTCGTGCTGGATCGACGGCAAGTCGTACGATGACATGCCTCCCACTGTGGGTAAGGATTTCGCCGAAAGGCTTTGCGAGTCCATGGCGGTCAACTCCGACGCAAACTTGCACAAGAAGGAAAACGGAGCGATCGAGCATCTCGGCAGTAAAACTGAGTGTGCGTTGCTTCAGCTCGTCGAACAGTTGCAACCGCCGAGCGGTGACGACAAGTACAGATATGTGGAGATTCGGGAAGCGCGGCCTGTCGCGCAGCTGTACCACTTCACCTCGGCTCGCAAACGCATGTCGACCGCCATCGCCAACGGTTCGGGCACTCGACTTCACGTTAAGGGTGCGTCCGAAATTGTCGTCAAGCTGTGTACCAAAATCATGAGCGCCGATGGCAAAGTCTCCGGTCTCTCCAGCCCTGTTCTCAAGCAGGCGGAGGCCGCCATCGAGGCGTTCGCGCGAAAAGGGTTGCGGACGTTATGCATCGCTTACAACGACCTCTCGAAGGCGCCTTCCGCTCTTGGTGATAACCCACCAGAGAGCGACCTCATCTTGCTCGGTATCATGGGCATCAAGGACCCCATTCGCCCGGAAACGGCTGAGGCGGTTCGTTTGCTCCGTGGTGCTGGCGTGACAGTTCGCATGGTCACCGGCGACAATGCCATCACCGCTGAGGCGATCGCGCGTGAGGCGGGTATCCTGGAGGAAGGTGACGATGGCTTAGTCCTCGAAGGTCCGGACTTCCGCAAGATGTCGGACGCCGAAAAGGAGTCGATTGCCATGCGCATTCGTGTCCTCGCGCGCTCTTCTCCTTCAGACAAACTGGTGTTGTGCAACCTGCAAAGGAAACTCGGTGAAGTCGTGGCTGTGACCGGCGACGGCACAAACGATGCTCCGGCACTGAAGGATGCGGATGTCGGCTTCGCCCTCGGTATCGCTGGCACCGAAATTGCCAAGGAGGCGTGCGATATTGTCATTCTTGATGACAACATCAAATCCATGGCCAAGGCGGTTTTGTGGGGACGCAACGTGTATCAATCCATCCGCAAGTTTTTGCAGTTCCAGCTTGTGGTGAACGTCGTCGCTGTCTCGTTGAACTTGATCGCCGCGATTGCCGGTATCAAGGAGCTCCCGCTTGCTGCGGTTCCGTTGCTTTGGGTAAACATGATTATGGATTCCATGGGCGCGCTAGCGCTTGCCACGGAGCCACCGTCCGCGCATCTCATGAAGAAGAAGCCCTTCGGCAGGTCTGCGCCGCTCATCAACAAACCAATGTGGCGTAATATCATCGGTGTCGCTATCTATCAGCTGATCGTTTGTATGGTTTTCATGTTCAACGGAGAGAAGTTGTTAGATATCAAGTGCCCGTGGGTGGAGGCGACAGCAACCAAGGCAGCTCATGAAGACTGCCACGCTCGCACGTTGGAGTTGAACGGTTTCATCTTCAACACCTTTGTCTTCATGCAAATTTTCTCCGAGATCAACTCTCGTCGTATCAGTGACCTGAATGTGTTCCATGAAATCGAGAAGTCGCACATCTTCTGCGGCATTATTCTCGCGACGGCGGGCATTCAAGTGCTCTTCATCGAAGCCGTTGGCAGCACCGTCGTTGGCCCGGCGATCGGCTTTGTCGCTCAGAACGCGAAGGAGTGGATCACATCTATTATTCTTGGCATCCTTATCCTTCCGGTTGGTTTTCTCACAAGACTAATGCCTCTGGAGTGGTTCCCAGGTATGACGGATGAAGAGAGCGGTGAGAAGGCCGCCCAAGACGCTCAGAAGCGCGTCGCGGAGGCCGAGGCGAAGCACGCCGCAGACAATGCGACCTCCGTGTCCGTCGGTGCCTCTAGTCCCGATCGTCCAGCTTCTACTCGCGGTTTAGCTGGCGTCGGTGAGGCCATCATCAGCTCTCGCTTGCAGGCCCGCCAAAGCCGTCTGTCCGACGCCTCCGATGCGTCGCTGTTGGAGCGACAACCGAAATCTTTCAAGGTTTTCGCCCACGCCGTCATCGCCGCCAACCGTTTCAAGAAAGCTTAGCTCCACAGTGTCGAACACTTACTAACTGGTTTACGATAACACTTACTGTTCAGGCAGTTCATTTCCACTTGCAATTATAAAAACGCTAACAGTGAAACTTCGCTTCGCCACCCCACAACGTCGCTCCCGTCGTCGTCGTCATCGTCGTCCGCGATGAGCGCCCTCCTCGCTCGAAAGAGCGTCAGACGCGCCGTGACCACCCTCCTGTGCGCATGCGTCGTCGTCCTCGAGTTCGGCGCCCATCCGTGGGCCAAGTCGGTAGATTTCAGAATTCAAGCGCCCAGAGCTCCTTTGCCTTCGCCGAGCTCGAGCGTAGACGCCTCGAGCGGGTCGACTCTTCGACAGAAGTTTCATCAACGCATCATTGGAGGCGACGGTCGATCGATGTCGAAGTCGTCGCGCACGTCGACGCGGTGCGGGGATTTCATCGGATACGCGTGGACGGTGGACGCGTGGACAGTGGACGACTTGGGTGAGCGCGTTCGATTGGCGGTGCGAGCCAAGAAGGTTGGGGCGATTGATCTCGTGGCGAGTCGAATGTTTGCCTACGCAGTGTACGCGCGAACGGGGGCGCGGGCGCAGGGGCTTCGAGAGCGCTTTGTTGACGCAAGCGGCGTCGAGCTTCCGATTGGTTTTGAGAGCGAACGCGTGTTGGAGACGACGGTGCTCGGGGTGAGAGATTTAGAGAAGATTCCGGGAGCAACTGGCGAGAACGGGATCATAGATTTAGTTGTTCGCGTTCGAGTGTGGAGTAATCCGTTCCATGTCGTTTTCAAGCACGAGCTCTTCGACGCGCTGACAACAGTTGGCAGTTTGGCGTATGCCTTCGTCGTGCTCTGGCGATCGACGAATGAGATGGGACACTGGCGCACGAAGCGTCGAACGATGAAAAAGGTTCGAACACCACACAAGGATGATGTGCACGGGGAGTTGTATCGACTTGCGTTGGTCATCGCGCGCGTGCCAATCAGCACGGCTTTCGACGCCGCTCACCTCCCACTGCGCGCGCTGAACGTCGTGGCGGACGCCACTACGGACATTATCGTCGAGACGGCGAGCTTGATTTCGCTCGCTGTCATGTTCCTGGCGCCTCGAACGAATGTCTCCGAGGAGGCGCCGGCGCCAGACACGTACGATGACCGCGGAAAGGCTCAACAGCACCATTTGAAGGCGAGCAAACTTCCTCGGCGCGTTGATCGTGCTTCTTCACATAAATCGTCGAGGAACGAAGTACATGCGCGACATGCGAAACGAGCATCAGTCGATGTTCTCGACCGTCGTCTAACGTTCTCTCAGGCCGATATAGACGCCGAGCAGCGCCGGGCAGAGCGCGAAGCAGCAGAGGCTCGCGAGCACGCTGAGGCACAGATTCGAGCAAAGATGAAGCGGGCACATATGCGAGACATGCACGTTTCCAGCTCCCGCTATGGGTCGTCATCAAAAGATCGCGATCGTCAAGAGAGTTTAGAGCTGCGCGGGCGTCAAGAATCGCTCATCCATCGTATGCTTCACGAGATCGACGACTTGGACATTCCCGAAGAGAAGGAAACCATCGACGAACCGCCGACGCCGAAGAATCAACACGACTTTGCCGGCCTCTTCTCGTGGAACGTGAACGATACAGATTCGTTATCGTAGAGCCTGAAACAGGCGCCTCTGTCGTATTTTATCTCTGTACGCACATCAACCTGTTCCCGGACCAAACTCTGCACACTTCGACTCGCTTCATGCGTCTTCGCGTTCGCACCTCCGACGGCGCCCAGGCCGTGGTCGACATCGCAGACAACGCCACGGTTGGTGCTCTCAAGACCGCGATCGCCCGAACGACGGACATCGTCGAGAGCGAGCAAGAATGGCATTTTGGTTTTCCTGCTCGCCCCGTTGACGCTACAGATTTCTCCGCGTCGTGCGCTTCGCTCGGGATCACGAACGGGGAGACGATCGCGGTTTCACGCGTCACGATCGAGAACGCGTCGACTACGCCGTTGGGGACAACGATCGAGGGGGATTCGACACTCGTGGAGGAGCTCGCGGCGATGGACGAGGACGAGGCGCTTGCGCGGGCGTTGGCAGCATCCATGGAAGACGGCGCGAACGCCGACGCGTCGACGAGCGTGGATGTGACGTCCATGCACGCGGTTCGCAGGGTGATCGCGAGCGATAACAGCTGTTTATTCAACGCGGTGGCGTACTGCGTGGAGCGGTCGCTGAAAGAGGCGACGCGGCTTCGGCGCGTCGTCGCGGATGCCGTCGCGGCGGACGCGGCGACCTTCAGCGAGGGGTTCTTAGGGAAATCACCGAAAGCTTATGTCGAGTGGATCACGAAACCGAACTCGTGGGGCGGACAGGTGGAGCTGTTCATCTTGTCAAAGTATTACCGCGTGGAAATCGCAGCGTACGACATCCAGACAGAACGATGCGATATCTACGGCGAAGGCGAAGGGTACAATGATCGAATCATGGTGATATACGACGGCTTACACTACGACGCTCTCGTGCTCCACCCCGTGTTCGGTGGCGCTGATGTCTCGCGCGACGTCACCCGCGTTCCGCCCGGCGTCGCACTACCGGCGGTCCAGCGTCTCGTCCGTGAGCAACACGCGTCCAAAAAGTTCACCGACACCGCCAACTTCTCCCTCCGCTGTCTGGTGTGTCAAAAAGGTCTCGTCGGTCAGGCCGAGGCCGTGGCGCACGCGAAGTCAACCGGCCACGCCAACTTTGGTGAATATTAGCTTCGTCCCGTTCATGCAAAGCCACAATGGAGAGTCATCAACCCACAATGACCCCCTCTGCGTTTAAAACCAATCGTCACACGCGCTTCAGCGCCGCACTCGTTGTCGCTCTGGCGCACGCGCGATAACCGCCTCGCGAACAACGTCGACGCACTTCACGTTCACGTCGTCGTGAACGGGACCGCACTCGAGCGCCGCGAGGAAGCAGGCGACGCGTGTACGCGCGACAGAGCCGTGACAGGTCGAAATCTGAAATTTTGAAAATCTCGCGCGCGATCGCGACGTAAATCGCACCACAGGGCGTCTCTCGAGCGTGCGAAGCGGGCGTGATGCGGATCAAACAAGTCGTCGTCGAGGGGTTCAAGACGTACCGCGAACAAACCGTCGTGGACTTCGACGACGGACTAAACTGCATCGTCGGAGCGAACGGCTCGGGCAAGTCGAACCTGTTTCACGCGATTCGATTCGTCCTGAGCGATGTCTTCGGCACGTTGCGAGCGGAAGATCGACAGCGGTTGTTACATGAAGGGGCCGGGCACGCGGTGATGTCGGCGTACGTGGAGATCGTATTCGATAACGCGGATGGACGTTTGCCAGTAGAGCGAGAGGAGGTGCGCCTGCGGAGAAACATCGGCCTGAAAAAGGATGAGTATTACCTCGATAAGAAACACGTGACGCGGGCCGAGGTTGTGAATCTGCTCGAGAGCGCTGGTTTCAGCCGAACGAATCCGTATTACGTCGTGCAGCAGGGGAAGATCATGAAGATGGCGACCATGCAAGATGAGGAGCGTTTGGACCTGCTGAAGGAGATCGGGGGCACGAGTGTGTTCGAGGCAAAGCGCAAGGAATCTCTCAAGGGCCTGGACGAGACGAAGTCGAAGCGTGAACAAGTTCAGGAGACGGTCGAATTCATCGAGAGTCGTCTCTCGGAGCTCGACGCGGAGAAAGATGAGTTGCAGAAGTACACCGATTTGGACAAGACGAAAAGGTCGCTCGAGTACACAATTTATGAACAAGAGTTGAGCGACACCAGAAACAAACTTGATGAGATTGAACAGAAACGTAGCGCGGTGCACGAATGCAGTCGCGTGGATGATGAAAAACTGAACGCCGTGAACGATAAAATTCGGGCTCGCGAGAAAGAATTCAAGGATGGCAACCGAGCAGCCGCTCAGTTGAAGAAGGAACTCGACACGGCGGAGGCCGAGTTGCGAAGCATCGTCGCCGAGCGAACGATCAAGGAGTTAGACGTGAAAGACTTGCGTGAGACCATTCAATCTGGTGAACAAGCGTTGGCTGGCATCGCTGGCCAAAAGACGGATGTCGAAAAGGCAACGGCTGAAACTCAGCAGAAGCTCGATGTCGTTCGCAAGAAGTACGACGCGGAAGCCGCGGTGGAGGAGGCGAAGGATCGCGAAATCGCTGACGTTGATCGACGGTTGCAAAGTCTGTATCAAAAGCAAGGAAGAAGCGATCGATTCAAATCCAAAGCCGAGCGCGACGCTTGGTTGAAGGGGCAAATTAAGGAGACGAATAAGACAAAGCAGCAAAAGTTGAAGGAAGTCGAGATGTTGGAGAACGACTTGAACGATATTCGAAAGACGCAGTCAAGCGACGAGAAAGATCGAGCGACGATGGAGGCGGAGCTCGTTGTCGAGGAAGAAAAACTCGCTGAAGTCGACGCGCAGTACAAGAAGGTGATGGCAGAGCGCAATCAAGCGCAAAACACCCGCAAGGATCTGCAGCGTCAAGAAAACGACATTGACAACTCTTTGGCGTCTTGCGACGAGGATATTAAGAAACGCGACAAACAATTAGAGTTCACGATGCCTCGGGATCTTCAACGCGGCATGGCCGCGGTGCAGCGCATTGTCAAGGAGCACAATATTGAGGGTGTGCACGGTCCTCTCATTGAGCTGATGGAGACTGATGAGCGTTTTCACGCAGCGATTGAAGCCAGCGCCGGAAACCAACTGTTCCACATTGTCGTCGATCACGACGACATCGGTAGTCGTATCATCGAATATTTGAACAAGGAAAAAGGTGGCAGAGTGACGTTCTTGCCTCTTAACAGAATGAACGCTCCGAACGTCACCTACCCAGAAGGTAGCGATGCATTCCCTCTTGTGTCCAAGCTCAAGTATGATGCAAAATACGATGCAGCGTTTAAGCAAATTTTCGCGCGTGTGTTGATTTGCCGGAATATTGATGTGGCCGTGACAAAGGCGGCGTCTTCCGCCTTGAACTGCGTCACCATGGACGGTGATACAGTGAGCAACAAGGGGTCGATGAGTGGTGGTTACCACGACAGTGGACGAAGCAAGATTGCGGCCATGACAGCGCTGCGCGAACTCAACATCAACCGCGAATCGCTCAGAGAGAAAATTTCGATCGTGAAAAAGTCGCTCGAAGCCTCGGAACAAAAGATGTCGTCGGTCCTCGGCGATATCAGCCGACTTGAATCTCAGCGCCGCTACAGTATGCAACACGTCGAACGATTGAAAAGTGAGCTACGATTCTACGGTGACACCGGCACGCGCGCGAGCTCGCTGCTCGAGCAAACCGAAAAGCGAATCGCTACCATGCGAGCTGATATCGCTCAACTTGAAATGCAAGTCACTGATTTGACGAGCGAAATTGGTTCAAGCTTGGACGCTACACTGACGCCAGCTGAAACGCAAGAACTTGGAAAGCTGACTGCCCAAGCGAGCACGTTGAAGCAAGAAAAGGTGGTCATCGCTGCTCGTCGACTTGATGTGTACGCGCAGTTGAGCGAGCTCCAGACTTCACTGGAGACGAATTTGGCGAGGCAACAGAAACGAATAGCCATCACATCTGGTGAAGTCGATATCAACGGCTTGCGTGCGGAGCTCGCGAAGCTCGAGGGTCAATTGAAAGCGGTGCAGAACGACGAAGCCATCGCGCGGAAGCAGTACGACGGCGTCGCAGAGAAGATGCGAACGGCGCAGGCGAGCGTCGAGGCGGCTTCTGCGGAAATCGAGCAGCTCCGAGGCTCTCAGGTTTCCATGAATATGTCGATGTCCGAGCGTGAGAAGGAGATCGAGACACTCATTACGAAGACGTCGATGCTTGCTAACAAACGTGAGCAATATCAAAAGAAGATTCGCGAGCTCGGTTCTCTGCCTGCCGACGCGTTCGATCGCTACCGCAGCGAATCCGTCAGTGCGTTGCGCAAGCTGTTGGGCAAGACGAACACGCAACTCGAAAAGCTTGGTCACGTCAACAAGAAGGCGCTGGACCAGTACCAGCAGTTCACGGAGCAACGCTCAGAGCTCGAAAAGCGCCGAGCAGAAATCAACAAGGCGCATGAGAGTATCACTCAACTCATTGACCACTTGGATCGCAAGAAGGATGAAGCCATCGAGCGTACGTTCAAGCAGGTGAGCGTGAACTTTAGAGACGTGTTCCATAAACTCGTCCCCGGAGGTCGCGGTGAGCTCGTGATGCAGCGCAAACGTGTCGCGAATCGGGATCCAGACGAAGAGGGTGGCGCTCGGGCGGCGGATCTGACATCGTTCAGTGAAAAGTACAGCGGTGTGAAGATCAAGGTGAGCTTCGGACAGGGAGAGACGATGCAGATGAAGCAACTGTCCGGTGGACAGAAAACTGTCGTCGCCGTCGCGCTCATCTTTGCCATCCAGCGCTGCGATCCGATGCCGTTTTATCTGTTTGACGAAATTGACGCTGCGCTCGATCCACAGTATCGCACCGCGGTGGCTCACATGATCAAGTCGCAGGCGGTCGGCAAAACACAATTCATCTGTACAACGTTCCGCCCGGAAATCGTCAAGGAAGCGACTTGCATTCAGGGCGTGTCTCACTCCCACAAGGTGAGTACCGTGCAAAAGGTGAACCTGGAAGAGGCGCTCAACTTCGTCGGGGACGACACGCAACAAGTTGCTCCTATCGAACGCGGTCCGCCGACGCCATGAGTAACATGATGAGATCGGATGTTGAGACTATATCGATGATGTGCTATTACAACTAGGATGAAATAACGAGCTGATAATCAAACACCCTGCCCCGTTACCCAGTTGGTGCCCGACCCACGTCACCTTGCGACACGTTAATGCACACCTGGGTTTGGTTCGCTGCGGCCGTGGAGAAGGTTTAGCGCGCTGTCCCCGTGAATGACTAGCTGGCATAGCGACATATCTGAACGGTTGAGTGCGCCCCGAATTCAATGATTCACGGGGCACACTCAACCATTCAGACACTCCGCCGGTGCCTCCTGCGCCAATTTGTTGCGAATCTCACATGATTTGATCAAAGCGTCGAGGTCTTCCTTCCAGCCCAACAACTCTGAGAGCTCGGCGATGCCATCATCGCATGCCCCCAAATAGAGCGCGTCACGATAATTCGTGTCTTCGTCGAAGTCAAAGCCCGTTCCGCGTCCGAGCCCGGCGAGGCGATACAGCCGACTCATGTGTGAATCTGGCGCCTCGCCGCACTTCTCCATATTTATGAGCAAGCGAGGAACGTCCTCTTTCGGACGCTCGATCAGACCCGCAAAAGGATGTACCACGAGCGAGGTGCCGATTACGATGAGTAAGTCGCATACCTCAAAATCTTCCTGAGCGCACTCGAAGAAGCGCCTAGGCAAGTTTTCGCCAAAGAACACGATGTCTGGCTTGACGTACTCGCCGCACTTCGAGCAAATCATCGGTGTTCCTGCGCGACAGGCGTCCGCGACCTCGTCGACGTCCGCCTCGTGCCCTCGCAAGCAATGCGCCCCATCAAAGTTACCGTGCGCGGGCACAACTTTTTCCTTTGGCAGTCCCGTCGCGCGCTCGAGCGAGTCGATGTTTTGCGTGAAGCACCGCCTAAGGATGCCCTTGTCGTGCAGTAGCTTGATGAAATAGTGCGTCGGGGTCGGTGCGAACGCACCAGGGTACAACTCCTTCGCGAGCCTATAAAATGGCCCAGGACGATCCTTGAAGTACCCGAGCTCGAACACCGCCTGAGGGTACGGCAAGTCGTACTCGCCGAGCCGTGCGTACAAACCGCTCTCGCTCCTAAAATCAGGTATACCCGCCGAGACGCTGATCCCCGCCCCGGTCATCACCACCACGTTCTTCGCTCGACCGCTCTTCACGTACGACGCGACGCCGGCGAGATCAAAGCTCTCCAGCGCTTTATCCACCGTCGCGCGCGCGAGCGCCTCCGTCGTCGTCCCAAGCCGCTGCGCCGCGAGACGTTCCATCAGCGCCACCATCTCCGCGCTCTCCCGCCCGAATCCGTACCCAGACGACGACGACGACGACGACGACGACGACGACGACGACGCATCGTTCACGGCATCGTCATCGCTCGACCGCGCGTCTTCGGCGTCGCGCGCGTTCGCGCCATCGACCGAAACATCGCTCTGCGCGTCGTCGCGCGCCATCCCCCCCCCCCGACGCCGCGCATCGTCCGCCGCGATCGCCCCGCGGTCTCTCTCCACCGTCGACGCGTCCGGCATGTCGCGCGCGCGTCGCGGTGCGGCGTCACACCGCTCGAGTGAACGAGTCAGCGCGTCCGCGTGCCTCACTTCAACGCCGCTCGCGCGCGACATGCCGGACGAAGAGATGCGGACGTCGAACGACGAGGCGCCGAAGACGGTGGACGAGGAAACCGCCGACGTCGTCGACGACGCGAGCGCGACGCCCGTGAGCGAGGACGTGGAGCTCGCGCAGAGGATCTTCGATTGCGAACGAGATCCCTCGAACGCGGACGCGAAAGCGGCGTTGATGGCGATCGTGGAGGGACGGAACATGGTGGCGACGTACACCGCGATGTGCGAGCGGTTCGCGTGGCCGAGCGATGTGGGAACGGTGGAGCGGATGACGAACGCGAACGCTGAGCGATTGAAGGCGATCGAGGCAAAGATCGAAGACGCGAGGGAAAACTTGGGAGACGTCGAGGTGCGAGATGCGATGCACGAGCGAGCGACGTTTTATGCATCGATTGGTTCGTGCGAGAAGGCGGTGGAGGCGTTTGAAGAGACGGAGGGCAAGACGACGAGCGCGGGGCAAAAGCTTGACGGGGCGTTTTCCTTGATGCGCATGCGGCTCGGGCGGATGGAGCTAAACGAGGTCAGGAAGCTCATCGAGAAAATTAAGGATATGCTAGAGCAACCTGGCGGTGGAGACTGGGAGCGTAAGAACCGTCTCAAGGTATACGAGGGGTTGCACGCGGCAGCGACGAGAAACTTTGAGTTGGCCACCAAGCTGTTTTTGGATTCTTTGAGCACGTTCGCCTCGTACGAGCTCATGACGTACGACGACTTTGTGTTCTACGCCGTCATATGTGCTATTGTCACACTTCCGAGAACGGAGCTCAAGGCGAAGGTGATTGACTCTCCAGAGGTTTTGAGTGTGTTGAACCGTCTTCCCGGTTTGGGTGATTTTTTGAACGCGTTGCACAGATGTGACTATCGCACCTTCATGGCCGCCTTCCCAGTTGTCGCGGCGCAAGTCGAGAGCAACGTGTGGCTAAGTCCGCACTACCGATACTTCTTGCGCGAGGTGCGTGTCGTCGCCTATGCGCAGTACCTGCAGAGTTACAAGAGCGTCACGGTGAAGAGTATGGCGGACAGCTTCAACGTGAGCGAAGACTTCATCGATCGTGAGCTCTCGCACTTCATCGTCGCTGGGCGCTTGAACTGTAAGATCGACAAGGTCTCAGGGGTGCTGCAAACGAACCGTCCGGACCTTAAAAACTCGCTGTACCAGACTCTCATCAAGGATGGCGATGCGTTGCTGAACAACGTCTCCAAGCTCAGCCGAGTGATAGATCTCTAGACCGACCGCGAGCTTTAATCGCATTTCAAACGTCGTAATAACTCATTTGTACGATGGATTCCTCTCGCACCGCGCGCACGCGTCGCCCGCCCGACGCGCTCGCCTCGTTTGAGTAATTCACTCTGCACCGCCACTCGCAACCGTCTCGAGTGTCACTAGTCACCACGCGCCCGCACGCGTCTAATGCCCGTCCAAAATGACGGTAGAGACGACGACAGTGTCACGCATCGCGTCGTGCGCTACGTTTACCCCGGTTCGACGCCTCGAAACGGTCGAGTCATCGACTTGGGTGAAATATCCGCCGCCGCCTGCGCGTCGCTCGATGTCGACGCTTTGCTTCGCCGCGACGGCGTCGAGCTCGAGCGATGGACGTACAGGGTGTACGACAACGATTTAGAGGGGTGGCGTCTGTTGATGGGTGAGGGGATACCGCGGGCGTGTTGGTCCAAGGCGAACGCGGCGGCGGCCACGCGATGCGAGCTCGCGTTGGAGGAACGGAGGTGCAGAGCGGTTCAGACGTGCTCGCCCTCGACGTCGGAAGTCACAGAGGGTGAGGGTGGCTGGGATAGCGTGACGGCGCCGAGACCGGGTGCGCAGGACGGTTTCTTTGGGATTGGAATATATAACGGGAAGAATGAAAACAACCTCGGTACGCTGTGGCGGACGTCGTATCAACTCGGTGCCGCTTACGCGTTCGTGGTCGGTCGTCGGTTCAAGAAGGAGTCGTCGGACACAGCGAATACGCATCAACATATTCCCATGTATACGTACGAGGATTGGAATGACTTTCGGAGGAACACACCCTACGGCGCGGTGCTCGTGGCGGTAGAAATGGGTGGCGAGCCGCTGGAGACATTTGAGCACCCGAAGAATTGCGTGTACGTACTAGGTAGTGAGGACACCGGTCTAAACACCAGCATGCTCCGCGCGTGTCGTCACCACGTCGCATTACCCGCAACTCGCACGGCGAGCTATAACGTCGCCGTTACCGGCGCCATTCTGATGTATGACCGCGAGATAAAGCGTCGGGAGCGCGCTCGAGCCGCCGCCGCGCGCGCCGCGACGGCGACGCCGAATCGTCGAGACGGCATCGACAGCGTCAAACCTCACAAAGTCGGATGAAATTCAACGTATAATTATTCGATGACGTACTTCCGAAGCTGGTTGTCGACGACGCCCGCACCGAACGATAATCACCAGCCCGCCCGCTCCGCACCGCGCGTTTTGGATAAACCTGCCCGCCTGAAAAGCGCCCTCGCACCATTCTCCGCACTCATCGCCTCGGTGACGTCGTCCTCGAGCTCGCGCGCGAGCATCGAGCGCACCGAGACGATCGATACAATCACGTCGGTCTTTCTCGCGCTCGCACACGGAGCACGCATCGTGTGATCGACGCACACAGATCCATAGACGTCGTGGAGATAAGGCGCCGTCGCGAATCGTCGAGACGCGTTCGACGCCGGTGACGCGTCATGTCGTGCCCGTTCGGCCACGGACGCGATATAGTGAGCAGTGAGAGCGTCGGTGATGACGCAGTGGGCGTGTCGACAGCGATCGTCACCGAGGGCGATCGTGGGACCAAGCGGCGGGCGACGACAGAGCTGAACGCGGAGGAAAGCGACGAGGACGCCGAACTGGATGTCGATGCGATACGAAGGGCGCTGAAGAGCGAGCGCTCGAGACGTAAGCGCGCGGAAAATGAGTTGATGTCGCTCAAGGCGCTGTATAGGCAGTGTAAGGGGACGTCATCGCCGCAGGAGCAAATCGCGGTTCGGGAACTCGCGATGGACTCGTGCGCAGAGGGAATCACAATCGCGGATTTCTCTAAGCCCGATCAACCGCTGATTTACGCGAACATTGGGTTCGAGTCGATGACGGGATACAGCGTGCAGGAGACGCTGGGGAAGAACTGTCGGTTTCTCCAAGGGCCAGGGACGGATCTAAAGGAGCTGGGCAAGGTGCGAGCTGCGATTACAAAGGGCGAGGCGTGCACAGTTGTCCTAAAGAATTACAAGAAATCCGGAGAGGAGTTCATGAACCAGCTCTCACTGACTCCAATTCGCGACGGAGAGGGCAATGTGATGTATTACGTCGGTATTCAGTCGGACATCACCGAACTCTTCAAGCGGAGAGATGACGAGCTCAACGCTCTGAAGAAGGTGGCGCGCGCTGAGGCTGCGACGGAAGCAAAGTCACGATTTCTGGCACACATGTCGCACGAAATTCGTACACCTTTGAACGGTTTGATCGCGGTGGGTCAGTTATTGGAGGACACGAATCTGGATCGTTTACAGCGAGAGTATGTTTCAACCGTACTGACGAGCGGAGAGACGCTGCAGGCGCTCATCAGCGACATTCTGGACTTCAGCCGGGTCGAGGCGGATAAGCTCGTATTGCAGTGCGAACCGTTCCACCCGGAAGTCGTCATTAGTAACGTAATTGAGATCACAGCGATGCAGTCGGCCAAGAAGAGGTTGAATATTGGATACCACGTTGATCCGGGAGTGCCAAAGCTCGTCATGGGGGATCCGATGCGCCTGCAGCAAGTTATTCTAAACTGCGTGAGCAACGCCATCAAGTTCACGGAAAAAGGCAATATCATGATAAGATTGTATCTTGGCCGCGAGGACACCACCGAAGTCGCCAGAATGGCGTTCGGGAGAGAAGACGAGGAGGATCACACTGCGCACATGGTCCGCTCTTACTCTGCGGGCTCGCTAGCTGCGACGCAGAAGGATTGGCTCGCGCCTCTTCAGTGCTTTTTGCACATGTGCCCGCACTTTGCCGGCAAAGCAAAACAACAAAAGGCGAAGGACGAAGAAAAGAAGGATCCTGACAGTTGGTTCCTGCACTTCTACGTCAAGGATACGGGCATGGGTCTGCAGGAAGGCACGATTCGTAACATTTTCCAATCATTTCAGCAGGTGGACATGGGATCGACTCGCAAGTACGATGGTACGGGTCTCGGACTCGCCATCTCCCGTAAACTGTGCGATGCAATGGGCGGAACGATGTGGGCGGAGAGTAAGGGTCTGGGGCAGGGCTCGACGTTTCACTTTTGCATCAAGTGCAAATCTGTTCCAGAAGAGTGGATGCGGGAGCACGAAAAGTCTAGAAAAGAGCTCAACAAGGGTGCAGCCGCTCTGAGCTTGCTCGAGCGGGATTTGAACAAGGAGTATGCCGTTCATTACAATCGTCCAGGTCAAAAACTGAGCATCGCTTTATACGACGAATCAGACATGTTGCGCGGCACGGTGTCCGCCGTGTTGAGACGTTGGGGCTTCCACGTTTTGCTTCTCCATAACGCGAAAGAATTCGTTGACTACCTGAGTGTCTCCGTCGACGGTGAACAGGAGCTGCGAGAAGTCGCTGTCATCGCAGAGATGAGTCCGAATACGGTTGAGATGGTGTATGAATGGGCGAAGAGTCGGGCTCTGCTGAACGGCATCAGCACTGGTCACGGCAATACAAGTATCGCATCCAGTGAAGATAACAAGACTTGCGCGAATGATATTTCCAAACTACCGCCATTCATTCTTTCGACGTGGCCGGTCGTTCAGTCGGTGACGTTCGATACCTCTGATCCGAGGTGTGCTTGGGCGAGAGACAGCGTTGAGTGCACCGAGTCGAGCATCGATTCGGTGAAGGAGAATGCGGTGAAAGACTTTTTCTCACAGATGCGATCTCACTATATTTCTAAACCGCTGCGGCACAATCGACTCAGGCGCGTGCTTGAGACTATTCTAGACGAAAAGGCGCATCACGCCGATGCCGGAGATACCGCTCGTACGGAGGGTGCACACATCATGCACGCCGAGCCAGCTTCGGACCTCGTCAATGGTGTTCTGAAGGAGCCCATTGACCCGAGACACTTGCGTATCCTGATCGCCGAAGACCATCCGGTGAACATGAAGGTGGCTAGAGCCGTGCTCAGTCGTCTCGGGTACATGGATGTCACCAGCGCGAAAGATGGTGCTGAAGCGCTCACCAAGGTGAAGGCGGAGGCGAAGGGCCTCGACGCCTTTGACATCGTGCTCATGGACTTGCACATGCCAAACATGGGCGGTATCGAGTGCGCGCAGAGTCTTCGATCCGAATACCCTGCGAGTAAAGTACCTATCATCGCAGTGACCGCGGACGCCATCGAGGAGAGTCGCCAGGAGTGCTTGGCAGCAGGCTTCGACGCCTATCTCACTAAACCGTTCAAAATTGAACAGATTAGAGACACGATTTCTCGACACTGTGGCCTGACAACCGATGAATCGACTTTGTAAATTGTAAACGACCCATACCGGTAATGAGTGGTATCACTAATCCGAGGAATCTGGTGATGAATCCAGCAACGCCTCCTCGTCTTGTTGAGTGCGCGGTCGCAACGTCTGCCGAGGCATGAACAGGTGGTCGTACTTTCGTTTCACCCAAGCGATGAACGTGAAGGTCATAGGTACACGAATGGTCTCGTGCGAAGAGTCCAACCCTTCTCGGGACGAGCCCGCCTGCGCGGGCGCCATGACTGAGGCCAGTGCGTGCGCACCCTCGTGAGGGATCTCTTCGAGCACGATTTTCAGCGCGCACGTCAGCGGAACGCCGAGCACTGCGCCGGGGGCTCCCCACACGGAATACCAAAACACGAGCGCAAACAACACCGTTACCTCGTTGAGATCTAGACCCTTACGATACACGACCGGTCCGATGAGGTCACCAACTAAAAACGACACCAAGTTCGGGATGAAGACCCCAGCCGCGCGCTGATTCGCAGTCATGTCTGGAAGGAGCACAATAATTGGCAACGGTAATATGGAGGCAATGATCGAACCTAGCGTCGGTATGAAGAATAACCAGAACGACACGATCGCTATGGCGATTGCCAATGGCCAGGGCATTCGACACAGGCCAAGGAGGACGCCGACGAGCAGAGCTCGCACCATCGCAATTTGCACCATGATGCTCACGAAACGCCGAGTCGCCTTGCGAATTCTTCGCACCACCAACGATCTCGAAAATGATAGCTCCCTTCTAGGCAAGAGCAGGAATAGCGTGTAAAATAGCATCAACATGACGTCCTGAAGGTAGTGAAACGCTCCAACACCGAGATTTTCCCAAAACTCCGCATCCTTGAGCGCGCCTTCTATTTCGTTTTGTAACCGGTCCCACGCTTGCTCCGCGATGTCATCCTTCTTGAAGATCCTCCTTGCCGCCTCACTCATGCTTTGTCCGATCGCATTCACTCGCGACGTGAACCTGGCGTACCACGCCGGATCCTTTACGTGTACCGCGACGTACACTCGACCGAGATACAGCGCCCAAATCAACGTCCCGAACACCGCGCACGTCACCGCGAGCGCGAGTACGATCGCCACGATCCTCGGCACCGTGAACGTCCCCCCACAGCACAATAACCGCGCTCGATGTCGCCGCAACGTCTCTCGCTGATACCCCTTATCGCTCACGAAATCAACCAGCGGTCGCAGCAACAGCGCCGCGCCGACCGCCGTGACGAGCGGTCGCAGCAGATACGCCAGGACCTGGAGTAACCAGTACGCCGACGCGCTCGCGATGACAACCACACCGAGCGTGATCACCGTGACGTCCCGCGCGCTCGCCGCGCGGGAGGGCGGCGCGAGCACGGGTGAGAATCCTTCATCTGGAAAATTGCCGAGCAACTGTCCGAACGGTCTACTCGGGCTCGGCGTCGCCGCCTCGTCCTCGCCGACGTCCGCTCGGGCGTCCGGAGGCGGTCTGAAGGTGAAATCGTCCCCGTCAGGAGCGGGCGCTCGCCGGGGCATCGTCGCGGCGTGCGGTTGGTACTGTGGTGATTACACGCGCAGCGAAGAGGCGAGACGGGAAAAAGAAAGGAAAAATCTCCTCGACGCCAACCATGCAACGTCGACCGCGACGTCGCGCGCGCACGTTCGCACCGCACGACCTCGGTGCGTCGCGGAGAGAAGTACACAGCGGGTCGTCCGGTGTTCGTTTATTAGCATGAATAATACGTCCTCCAGGTCATTCGAGACGGTGACGATTATTTGTCACCGCCGGTCCACGCCGCTCGATCCTACTTGACGAAGCACTGCATCGGGAAGATTTCGCCTCGTGCGAAAACACCGCCCGTGGTGTCGATGAGTTTCAGCGTGTGCACGGGTTCGAGTTGTAAATCATCGCTGAGAACGGACGTGACGATGTCGACCTTAGCCTCAGTCTTTGGAACTTCGAAGTAGGCACCGATGCCAGTGGCAAAGGTACTTTTCTCGCCGAGGGTGCACTCTTTGCTGTACTCAAAGTCAGAAAAATAGGCTGAAAGGGACGTCGTGCCTTCGAAATCGACGGGATTGCCCACGGCGACCGCGGCAAACATGTCGAGACCGGCGTACACGCCCTGAGTCATGGCCGACTCCGGACCAGAACACGCGACGCCTGCGAAGCAGAGCTTGACGTCAACGTGGGCAATCTCGAGGATGAGACCGACCTGCATGTCTACAGCGATCGATGCGGCGCCGTATCGCTCCAGTTTCAAGCGCGGCTCTTTGGTGATAATGTTAACCTTACCATCGACGAGCTCGATGGCGTACTCGAGCTCATCCACCTTGAGTGTCCATTCCAGAACAGCCTGGGCGTCCAGGCGTGCGAAGTACGGCAAACTCAACTTTGCAGATACCAAGACGTCAAGATAGAAGCCAAAACCGAGCATCACATTATGACGCGTCTGGTACGGATTCGGGAACTTGCCATCGACAAGATCCAAGAGATCACCAGACTTGAACGCGTTGGCCTTCGCGTCGAGGCGGAATTGCAACTTCATACCGGCTTGCACGCCCACCTTCACGTGAGAATCCTTGATGGCTTGCATCGCCGTGTCCAAGGCAGCGGAGGCCTTTTTACTGGCATCCAGCAACGGATTTCCTCCGAGAGCCGCGGCGGAGCGCTCCAACTCGCTACGCGTAGATGCCTTCAACAACAATGGATCTTCGATCAGCGCGACACGCGTACTTTCGAGGCTGCGCATGACCTTTTTCTCAAGCTCGCGCATACGGGTGTCATAAATTTCAGACGCGTGCGACAGCACAGTCGTGATCGATCGATAGTGCGAATCAAGAAGTGTTGATGTCGCCTCGTGAAGAGCATCCTCATGAATCGTAACGTCGCTCTTGGAAAGCAAACGTCGACGTTTACCTGAGATGGACTTGACGCTATTGATGAGATCATCAACTTCACCCTTCACTTTCGTCGCAACAACTTTTGCGCTCGCGGCAAGGTTCGCTGCTTCGTTCACCGGGACCATAATTTCCGCCTTGATGTCATTCACGGCTCCAAGAGCATCCTGCTTAATTTCATCGAACACCGTCTTGAAGAAAGATCGCAACACGTTCAACAAGTCTGTGGCGAGTGCCTTGGGGATGTCGAACACGAGAAGACCAGCGCACGCTTCCCATCGCGCAACCGGGAAGCCAGCTTTGAGAGTCGCCGGCGCCCATGGTGAGTCACCCATTTTCGATGGCCAAGGCATTTTGTATTCGACGTTGAGCAAGTCAGGCTTGAACACTTCGTCGATAGGAATGTTGTAGCAGAAGAGCGTTCCTTTTGGAAGCTCATCCGTGAGGTAATCGAGTCTCGCCTTTCCAGAGAGATGCAGAAGAATACAAGGCCTATTCTCTTTCGATCCGCATTTATTTATGGCAAGGTCCATCTGTTGGCTCAAGGACATGTTTGGAATGTCCCACATTGATGGCGTGCTCCGAAGTGTTGGGAGCGAAGGAAGATCAAAATTCCACCCGAAGCCTACACTCGACGTGTTTAGGAACGTCGGGAACTTAGGGTCATAACCTGCAACGCCCGGAATGTTCATGCCGATATCAAAGCTTGGATCGTAGTTCGGTAAGCCCGGCCAGTTCCAGCCTTTGCCGCATTTATCGCCACACTTTGGGCTCGACCCCCACTCGTTCGGAAGCGAAATGTTGAAAGATGGACCTTTGAATTGCCACTCTGGAAGTTGCCAAGCGGGATCGGGGCCGTTCCAAGGCATTTGAGGAACCTTGGAGCCCCAGTCGGGAAAAGAAATATCAAACTGAGGCAGGTAAACTTGAGGAAGCGTAGCCGTGACGTTCAACTTTGGCACATTGTTCATGATCTCTGTCGCCAGCTCGCTGACGCACGCCTTTGCGCTGTTCAGCAGTTGCGTCAGTTGACTCTTGTCAATCGTAGGTACACCGAGACCGAGATTTGCGTCGTCCAAAGGGGATTTGGTGGGAAAGAAAATTCCATGGAGTTGCGCTCGAAGCACGTCGTAGTCCAAGGAATCTGTGAGACCGGCACGACGCCCGAGTCGAGAATCACCGAGATTTGCCGATTGTCCGCTGACGATTGAGCCCGAGACACTCTTGACGAGTGCATCCGCGTCACTTGGAAGTAAGCCATTGGTGACATCGTCGACGAACCCTCTCACTTTGTCAACGACTCCGTTGAACGTCGTCTCCACTTCAGTGGTCATTTCATCGATTTCTTTCGGAATGCGCTGCAGCGCGTTGACGATCTCCTGCGTCTTGCTCGCCGCGGCGGTCATGTCATTTATCTGACGCTTGACACCAGTAATCTTTCCGACGGCGCTCTTGTATTGTTTTCTCGGTTCTTTCAACGCTCTAGTCCAGCAACTGACGTCGGTGACGCCGCAACCGAGCGCAGACGTCGTCGATTCCGTCTCCACCGCGACACGCATCCGCGCGCGTCCTGCACCGAGCACATCAACGCGCGCGACGTCATCGACGCCGCGCCCGCGTCGCGTCCGCGACGCCAACGAGACGCACGCGAGCGTCGCGCTCACCGCCGCCATCCACCGCGTCGCGTCGCGCCAACGTCGCCGCGTCCGTCGCGTCGACGTCTCTCGCACCACCCCATCACCCGCGGCGCCGTACGTCTCGCGACGTCCCCGCTCTTCCGCCGTTCCCCGAGACGTCGCCCCGCGCCCGCTCATCCGCGTCGCGTCGCCCCCACCGCCCCCGCCGCCGTCCAGCAGCGCTTTCGTCTCGCTCGACGACGACGCCATCGCCGTCGCGTCGTCCGCACCACCGCGACACCGTTCGGCGTCGCGCGCGGTCGCGCCACCGACGCTCGACGCCCAACACCCACGCCGCGCGCGTGGATGTCCCCTCGTCGCCGTCGACTCTCGACTCGAGATTGGTCGACATCACCGGAATCGAAACTCGCATCTCACGCGCGCGCGCGGCGAAAAAAAATGGATTTCGACTCATCTCGGTCATGAGATTTCGACCCATCTCGTGGTCGAAATCGCGAACGATCGCGAACGGACCGCGTCCATCGATGTCGTGCCGAATCCCAACACCCACGCGTCGCGCGAGGGCGACCGTGGTGTTCGCGACGACGCGCGAACGCGACGGGCGGGACGACGCGCGCGCGCGACGGGCGGGACGCGCCGGGAACGCGACGGGCGGGACGCGGCGCGCGCGCGACGGGCGGG